CGGTTATACCACGACGTGGGCATTGAGAAAGTGTGTTTTGCTATAATAGCATAACTATAAATTGTTTTAGTAAATTAATTTTGCCCCTTCCCTTGCCTAAATAATTGTTTTGAACTTTCCATGCACTTTTATTGCATGCACATCAAGACCACTTATGTAAAACCAAAACGCAGTCATTTAGGCCGATTAACCTGTACTTTAAACAAATCTAGCGAAACTAAACCTTGTAGGCAAGCACTTCAAAGGACACATGAAGCTGCACATGCAAGCTTATTGGAAGCACATAAATCACAATCAAAACGCAGAATTGTACAAGGCTAATAAACAAAATTATGTTTTACTTTTGTTAGCAAAGCGGGGAACAAAAGAACAGTAGGACTTAGTTTGAAACTGAGCGCCATATATATTCAATAGACCAGGGTTTCTCAAAATTAGTCCTGCGTATCAAACTTCTTAGACGACTGCGAACCCCTTTAAAAACAGCTATTGAAGAAAATACGGTTAAAGTTTTATTTAATTAAATAAAATTTATTTGACTGTTTTCACAGTCACAAAAAGTTTGTGACTTTTTTGAAGTTTTCTTTCTTTTTATTATTGTTATACTAAGTGACGGGACGAACAAGTCGGTAAGTGACACGCGTGTCCATGATAGTTGCAGTGCCATTCAGAGCTTTAAATAACAAAGATCTCAGGGGCAGTGCCACTGTACCGGACACCCTGAGACATAAGTTGACAAGTGACATGACAAGTTGACAAGGGCGCAGTGGTAGTGCCCCTCAGATCTTTGCAATTTAAGGCTTTGAGTGGCACTGTAACTGTTATGAACAAGCGTGTGGCTTGCCATCAGACGCACGACTTGTTCGTACCGTCACTTGATGTTATAAAAAAAAGCAAATTGAGTCGATTTTAGGAACAAATTTGATCAATTTCAATATTAATTCTGATCCAGAAACAAGTTGATTTCTGTATTTCGTTTTTATCATGATCACGTGTAAAAACCCATTCTCACATAGGTAAGTCATCACGAAGAGCTAATGGTAATTTACCGCTTTCCGTGAGAGTTGGAGAGGTTGGAGTCGTCTTCATGTATGCATACACATGTCAGACGTGCGAGTTAACCAGTTAGTCGCTATAACGTAAATCTTGTAACGAATCCCCTACGTCCAACTGGTGAACCCCTAGGGGTTCGCGTACCTAACTTTGAGAAACCCTGCAACAGGCGATATAATTTAACATCGAGATAAGAATATTAACATACGTACATATAGATTCAGTTCATTGAAGTTTGTCATTTACAATTGGGTTACATATTAATTTATTAACCTTGTCGTACAGAGTAAATGATAAATACATGGTTTTAACTGAACACATAGTTGTAAATATACATAGATGTATTCATACAGTAATGCAATATACATACTATTTATTGCTAAATCAATTAATAAAGATATTTAGTTATTGCATATTTAATTTTAAATTTGATTTAAACAATATCCTTTTACTACATTGAGCGTACACAGCCTCTCATAAATAAAATTTATTATGTATTTATTTTACTACTCTCGTATATACAAATGCTAAAGGAACGTAATATTGGTGCATTGTATTCTCTTAGTTACATAATATAACTTAAATATTTCAAATTATTAATTTATATACTGCAGCGTTTCATATTTACATTATTATTCTCTATTGTTTTATAATAACACGGAATTATGTTTTTTTTTTTCAATTCAAATATTTATTCACCAAGACAACTACCTTATATTGCCTAAGTAAGTCAAATTAAAACAAATGGATACTTAAATAATACAGGTATACATAATAATACAGAGTACTTATCGTCTTGATTTTTTAAGATGAACATTCATTTATATTTGAATCCATAAATTCGTTGATTCTATAAAAAGCGCCATTTTCGAAATAAGTTTTTTTATGACATGGACATTGTTTCAGTTGTAACAATTACTTTTTAAAACAAAAACATAATATGAGCCACTTTGAAGGCGCCTTTATATTAGACGCTTGTAGAAGCTGTGGCGCGGCAGACGCTCCAATACAAATTTTCATACAATGTCTAGTTTGCAAAAGTGACGCGTGAGTGGCGCGCCTGAGACGCAGCGGGTGCGCTTCTAAATATTGTATGAAAATTAGCGGCTCCAGTACCATAGTGGCGCCACTCCATCGCTTCTATAAGCGTTTTTTGAAGGCGCCCTAAGAAAATTTGTTTAAATGCATGTTAGACAATTGTCGATTTTAATTTACTATTTATTAATTGGGTATACGAGCAGACAAATTTTCTAAGCATCTATGTTAAGATGCAGCGCGGTGTACTCGCCAAAGTGTAAACATTGTTGTTGGTATGTAATAAATTACATGAAGAGTCGAAAATATAAATTCGCCTGCAGATAGATAAAAAATAAACCTATGAACCCTGTATCCAGTATGTGCGCTTTTATAATCGTATCGGCAAAAAGACGTCAAAGTGAACACCTCGCTATTAAATTAAATAGTCCAAAAATATAATTTTTAAACGCCTACCTGTATTTTCCGTTAATTCACTTTTATGTGGATAAATAATAATTAATATAGAGTATAGAATTTCCTTTAAAATCTATACACACATATTTTTTTTAAAAGGTACGAGGTTTTGACGGTAGAGATAAAATGTTTGCACGATTAGGGTGTTAAAATGATAGGTTTATGTATATTTTTTAATTTAAAATAACAATTTAAAACTTGAAATACATTTTTTAAAAGAAGTCGTTCTGGAACATGATATGAGAATTAAGACATAGAAGACCGAGAAAAGAAGTGGGGTATGGAGATGCGATGTCTATTACTTCGTAGTTCACATCAATTCGTTACACAAGCCCAGTTAGTCTAAACGAAGCTCATTATTTTTCTTAAACATCTATTTATTTACGTCTATTAGGTTTTATTCTGCTGTTTATAGTTTGTAAAACAACATTTAAATCTTAAAAATCGATTTTTTTATATTTAAATGTGTTAGCTACATGCCCATAGCTTCATTGTAAGTATCTATTAATTATTTTTCTGTTCTGCGTTTACTGTGATATTCATGTATTTATGAAGGTCAACACGTTGCACAAGAATGCGTTTAATGATCCATTAGCTTACTAAACTTAGTTTAAAAGTAATAACTTATTATTACTTTTAAACTTTCACGTTGCATTGTACTAACATTTCAAAATGGGAATAAACGAGATTAAAAAATTTTAGGGCGCCTTCAAATTAGACGCTTATGAAGCACTGCAGTGGCGCCGCAGAGGGGCTGCACCCGCGCCGCTAATAACTTTCATACAATATTAAGAAGTGCTGTCACGTCACTATCATGATACGCGCGCGCCACTTCCAGTCACAATTCGTGAGCTAAAGTTACTGAAGCACTTCTTCAAACGTCTAATTTGAAGGCGCCGTTAGAGTCAGTTCGTGACCACGGCCAATGCAACCTGGGCCCTGATTCAGAACTTTTCCATACTTTAACCGAGTCGTTCGATACCATTCTCGAATCGAAGGGCGCTTTCCGAGCTATTCAGTACATTCGAGTCAAACGTTCGATTCGTATTCGGATACCATATTGATTTCCAATAGCGTTTACGGAGTTAGTCGGCGAAATAGATTATAAGAAAAATAAAAAACCTTTTATATACATTTTAAGGTTGTAAAGGCCTAAAATATAGGAATGTATTAGTCTTGCATGATAATACTTAATAAAATTGAACAAAATCCAGACTTTATTTAAAATTCCATGTTACATTCTTGCTTTGTAAACAATAGGACGTTCGATAACTTTCATTCGATAACCGTGTTCTGAATAACGTTTGAAGACTTTGCCGGTCGAGATGTTCAAGAAATCGTACGGGTGTGACGTCATTTCGGTTTGGTTTCGATTACGACAGTTTGACGTTCGATTCGGGTGTTGTGAATAAAAATGTAAAGAAATCGTACGATATCAAATCGAATTGGTCGACAACTGAGTTATCGTACGGTTCTGAATCGATCCCCTGGTCGAAACGTGGAGATAATAGGTAGGTCTGTAAATACCTACCTATTATCTCCACGTTTCGACCAGGACACTCTTTTTCTGTTTTGAAATCTTTGACTATATTTATGGTTTTTCAATGAAACTATAGGCTCGCAAGTTATTAATTTAGCGCTACGGACCACATCAACAATATTAAATCTCCTCCAGACATGCGCGGCAAGATTGAAACAGAACATTACGTAACGGTAAATATAGCTGCGCATACATGATAGAGATCTAAAATTTTAGCATCTTTAATAGGGTGATTAGATCTAGACTTTAAAATGTAATTAGATATACGTATAGATAATACAGATGTGAAGGAAAACGAAGCGAAATGTCATCTTATCTCAAAAATAATCAATAAGTAATTGACCATTCTTAGATTTAAATAATCCAAAATAACTACGTACTTTAATCTGATTACAAAGGTATAATTGACAAAAAATTAATCAAAAACTTTTACAATAGGTACATATTTTTTTCTGTTAGTCTTATAGAAACTTAATTTCGATAGTTTTAAAACACTTTGCATTTTTTTCAAAGTGTTTTCTTCATAAATATATTCTAGCTAAATCTGCAGATATACATTTAAATATTTCACTACTAAAGGTGCAAATATTTCTAAAATATATAGTATATTTATAAACAGTATTTACTATATTGTGCCATATACAATGCACGCGTAACACACATAATGTATTAAGTTTACCGTAGTTACTTACACATAAAAACATGACTGTTAGACAGTATCACTCGCTATACACCAACCTTTATGTAATTAGCTAACTATAGTTATATATCATTGGTGTTATATGTAGGTCAAGTGCCAATACAAACAAAAAGAATTCTGGCGAACTACTGTTGTAGCTGATACATTTATGTATTACTTTGGAGAGTTTTCCGACATTTGGAGTACTCAGTAATGACATTTCGAGCTATTTACCTTGGCACTTGATATACGCGCATTTGTTGGACATAATCAAAACAAAATAAACTCACATACGCCGTAACACTCTATACATCAGTTAACAATCATTATTGTCAGTTATAACTCTATTTAATGAATTTTATATTTAATTATAAATTCGCGTCTAGTAATAGGCAGTTTTAACACAATTATGTTTAATTTATATTCACTATTTAGTTCCGAACGCGAACGAGGTGTGGTCTTTATTCGAGTTTCAATAAATTAAAATGTAACATGGACATGGCGGTCACGTTGCCGCGGACGCCGTATTTAATTATGTATATATATGATTGGTCTTTTGCGTAGCAATAACGCTTGCAAACTTTCGAAATGGCAAGACCCAGACTTCGCTGCGTGTCGGCAACAGTTGGCTTAGGATGGATGGAACTATCTAGCACATTCATTAACGCTACATAGTTAGATTGAACGTGTAAATGAGTAGACTACATCAAAGGGCGCTGTTGCGGGCCCCCAGTTCGATAGCACATTTTTTGTGAGATTTTTCCAAAGTTCTAGGAGAACTTCAATTATGATACGCAAATTTGTATTTCGTATAAAACGTAGATACACCTGCAGTGCGTAGCACTTTCGTAGACCTAAATATTTGTTTAAAGGCCATAGATAAATACAATGTAAAGTTCTCCAAGCACCGCTAAGATCTCAATGGGGCCAACACCAGCTCACTTTGGTCGCGGAATCAGTTAAAGTAAAATGGTTTGAATCGATTGGTATTAGCAAAGTAGATTTAAAATTAGATACGAAAGGAGCTTGCGATAATATCAAACGTGCAAATTATCAATTCGTCGTCGCTTAGTCGAAGATTAAGTACTTACCTAACGGAAAGTCCACGATATCACATCATTGATATCCAAAGCGATACGCCTAGAGTCACATTGTCCTGAGAGCGACACGAAATATCACTCGCGGAGCAAACGCATCCACACTTGAGTCACTAAAGAACAACTTCTATATGTCTATAAAAAGAACAAAATTGATATTCCAGCTATGTATTACAACGAGCTGTATAACCTGCATTTTACGCTTCTTGCGACTGAACCATCTGAACCTAATTATGAAAATGTGTTTTTTTTATTTATAACAAACCTTTAACAGATCCGATCACTCCGCGAGTAGCATGGTCATGAGTTCAAAGAAGGGGTATTGCGAGAACGCTTATTGCTTGGTTAGGAGCGCAGCTGCGCCGGACTTAGCACCAGTTCACCGTCGGGCCCGGCGAAGGAGACGTTGCGGGGCGGCGGTCGCGTGCGCGCCACACCCGAGGACATTGCCGTGGGCTGTGCAGATACAGCGGCTGGCTCTGCTTTCTCTTGCACCGCGATTTGTTGGACTGCGCCCTGAAAAGGGGTACTTCGCTTAAACTGACATCTTTTTTGAGCAAGTGGGTTGATAAATGATGATGATGGAATTGATAAATCCTTTTAAAAGTCGGTAGAATACCATGGTGATGATCATCCGAATTATCGAGTTAATTTACTCATCCGAATTAGCTCAGTTTACCTGCTGCAGATGAGCAGGTGCGGAATGCGAGGCAGGCGGAGGTGGTGGAGCGGCGGTGCGGTACCGCCTTAAACGCTCGTCCTCCTCGCCACTGGAGAGACTTGACACGTCGCAGGACGACGCGTCCAGGCGACGTGCTGGCGAGCACTGCGCAGGACCTGTCCTCGGACCACGAGCCAACGGCATCTCCTCGCCCTCCCCACACCCATCCAGTCTGCGATACAAACTTTTGAGGTTTAACAGATTGAGCGGTAGCAAAACATTGTATAATTATAATAATAGTTGTTTATTTTCTCCCACAAATATCGATAAAAAAACCAATTTACAGCCAGAATTTACATGTTAATGTATGTGAGAGACAGTAGCCTAAATTAGAAAAATCCTGTATCTTAGGCCTGGTCTTTAATTATTTAATTAGCTCTATTTTTCGCATAATACGTGAGTTTGTACAATAGGGAGTAATTTAAAAAGTTAGTGTTTTCATTTTTGTGCATATGTGTGTGTGTGTGTGTGTGTGTGTGAGCGTGAGAATGAGTGAGGCGTGTGATTTTTGTGTGTGAATGTATGTGTGTGTGTTTGTGTGTGGGTGGATCTGTGTATTAACAAGACTTTCATAGCATAACTGTAAAAACAGTGACTATTGAAGAATAATAAAGTTGCACGCTTGATTGTAAACTTTTTAGAATGGTATGTATCTACAACTCGAAGCGTGATTGACATGTGCCTACCGTAGGCTAATAACTGAAAATATTTTCACAAGAGAGAACTTGTGAGAGAATGTCAATGTTGACACAATTATTACACCGTTAACGTAGGTTAAAAGAGGCAATACCTTCTGTTCTCCTTGTAGTTGGTCCGGCGGCGGCAGCAGGGTTTGGCGAAGATACAGAAGGCGATTCGCAGCAGGCAGCACGCCAACCCAGCCACAATCAGCGACGGGCCCACCAACCGCAGTGCTGGCGTTTTGAAACCCTACAACGAAAATATCGGCAACATTCTTTCTCCCCAAAACAAAACGCCTTAAACAACGTTATAACTTTATCAAAACATAAAGGGAAGTAATAATTTATAGTTGGGAAAACATTGGCCCCCTTTTGAATCATGTGCAATTTAGTTTACTAATGACTGCAAAGGATATTTTTATTTTATTTACAGATATTGGATATTGGAGATACACGTCGGAAAATGGTTACCATTTGTTATTTTATTTATTGCAGGTAATCAACGGCGTTTTTTAAATAGTATTTAACAAAATACATTTTATTTGTTACTAAGTTCAACACCAGATCGCCACCTATAAGGTAGTCGGTAAAAAGAATTTAAACATGGAAAAATAACAATTGTATCGACTAAGAATAACAATTGGTACCTATTTCAAACTTGAGTAGTAGACATAATATGGTGCCTAGTTAACTGGTTTGTCAATTTAAATAATGGAGTCAGTAACAATGGTACGTTGTGTACATATTATTCATAAGTGTTCATTAATCCGCAATTCGCTATCTTTAGAGGAAACACGGGTCCACATCAACCTTTATACATCCCACTGCTGGGTGTGGACAGCCGGCAGTGGAACGTAATGGATTAAAGGAGATTTCAAAAGTTTAGGAAAATTTAGATTGAGTTTGTGGACCAAATAAACAAACCTTGTCCCCGGTGCCAACGAAGTAGACAACAAGTCCGACGGCAAGCGTGCCGAGTCCAGCATACAGAAGCCGTGCAACGCCCCATGGCTCCCCAGACGTGCCTTCCGGCTCCCCGTCGGAGTCCGATGATGAACCGTATGACGCGTCTCGTACCTGAAGATAAGAAGTGGAAAATATAGTGGATTACTTACTTATTGTCTTTAGACAGCGTGGTCAGGTTCTGTATTACGTTATGTCCACTGATACATGTTGTAGAAAGCGTTTGAAGGTTAATTCCACGTGGCACCAGCGTCTTTTACCTACGTGTATGCGATTACAGCCTTATATATAAGGTTTTCCTTCTATTTTAATCGCCTTAAAAAAAGGAGCAGGTTTTCAATTGGACTGTATTTTTTTGTGAACCAATTTCGATGATACTTTTTTTGTTGGAAAGAGGGTACCTCAGTATTGGTCCCATTTAAATTTGAAGAAAATATTCCACCTCTAAGGGTGGCAAACTAAGGGATGAATCCGGTTTCGCGCACTCTCCGGGAACCAATTGCAATAAAACTAGGCAAATATATGTCTTTCCACAAAAGTCGGTTCTTTTTATAAACAAGTTATTGGAGATGCATTTCCTGGTTGTTGTCGATTTATGTTGTCTACTCAGGATAAGGCTTACTCGATTGTTTCTCCGCCATTTGTTGTTGGGGTCGCGGCGTGCGCCCGGGTGGTCGCCGAGCACAGAGCACCTGCGCGCTGCGCCGCCGGCCCCGGCGCCGCCGCCGCCGACCGACAGCGCCGCCGCCTCCTGCCACGCCGCGCGACCCGCTGCGCACTGAAATACCACAACATTATATATACATTATATATATATAGAACCATCGAGTCTGACACTCTGCAACATACTGAAGGCCACATCTAAATATATATTTCGAAAAAATTGTTAGGAGAGTATGTTTTAGTATTTCACAACTGTTTTAAAATATTTTCGTCCCGCTAAATTTAATTAAAACCAAAATTGAATTTTAAAACAGGACATATATATCTAAAAACAGTAGTTAAATCTTTAAACATGCTCCCCTTTTTTTTTTCGAAAAGGCGCTTCCGCCCTTTCTTCAGAACACCGGCCATAGTAGTAGCGTCCAGAATTGTAATAAAAAAGTGTACACTAAGTCACTTTCCCAACGAAAGTAATTTTGTACATAGTTTTCCATTTTTCCATACTTTGAGTCTTATCGCTTTCTATTATAATAATAATAATTTATTAATTCAATCACAAAAAATATTTATTCAAGATTCAGATTTGGTTAAGCCAATCTTCAGTAATAACAGATTTCATCAGATCAGAGTGCACAATATGTACGTTCTTTCCTCAAAATCGGAATTGATGTGCGATGGGATCTAACGCAAATCCCAATTGAATCCTATCTAATATCGATAAAAAAATATCAACCTTTTCGTTATGGGCGGGCAAACGAGGGTGGGACTTGCCGATACCAGTCACGATTTCGATAAACAGAAAATAAGGACATATAGGCCAATTGGCAGTGGATTCGAGAGGCTGTCGTGTATTGGCTGGTCATATTTCATGATCGAACCTACCGTGAAGCCTTTTTTGTTTTTTATGAACTTGTAAGGATTACTAATGTTGTTAGATTTACTGCACTTAATTTACTGTTCAGTCGAAATCACTCATAAATATAAATAAATCTCATTTTTTTATACTTCGTAGAACAGAAAAAGTGCCTCAGTAATTATAAGCCTACGACACAGAGTGAGTTGCAAACTTTTTTTTCATAAAACAACGTATGGTTACCCTTCCATGCTTATATGTTTTTGAAATGGCAATGTTTGTAAGAAAAAATATAATCCTATTTGAACATGTAACAAGGGAACGTAGGCAACATAGACCGATACTTCCCCCACTAAACTTACCATATTTAAAAACAGAACAGAAACGAGATCACAAAATAAAAATAAAAATATACTTTCCTGCCAGCAGTGTATTTATAAGTGTGTACCTAATAAATAAGTTTGTATGTAGTATGCAGGTATTATATTTTTTCTTTAAATGCCTAATGCCTATTATGAAATAGACATTAATTTATTTTGTAATAACATGTACTTGTACTGACTAAATAAAGAATATATGTGTGTATACGTATATAAAATATATACACATAAAAATAAGAATATCGATATTAGTAAAGACTGTCTTGCCTCGCTTTTACTGTAGACCCAGATATCATGGCGAACAGTAGTTTTGGTAATGTTAATGTAAAGTACAAGAATTTAGTTCCTTAAAAATCCCTAACACGGGTCCAAATTATCTGTCGTTAAGGATTGATTTTAAGTTGATCCCCTTGCCATGTTAAAGGTCAGCCGTATCTCATATCGCGAAAGACTCTGAAAGCCTGTAAATCGATCGTAAACAAGCCCTCGCCGAAAGTGCGAGTGATGTATCAAATTACTGTTTAATATCGACTTTCCGTTGGTTATTTGGTGTCTCGTTTTTATAGCTTTAGTTAGGTTTGGTAATTGTCTCCAGGAAAGAAAATGTACCTTTTAACTTAGTCTATCAAACTTGATGTAAATTTTTTATTAATAGTTTTGGCTTGGATACAAGTCATTTGAGTCATGTCTTCGTTTAATTATCAGGGGGCCTACCACAACCTCTTAAAACAATATTACTTTAACCTTACATTGACTTTTCGTACCATAACGCGCTTAAAGTAAGCTTATTATAATGTTAAAACTAGATGTTTTATAGGCAGCTTTGTGACTATTCATTCACTAAGTTCATACTATGACGCGACTTTAACATAGATAAATGTCAAATTTAGCAATCTTAAAATAGTTACACGGATGCAATGGAAACAGTATTATTTTCAGTTTTATTGTCATAATATTGATTTGTAATGATTAAAAGTTAACTTGAACTTATTTATTTACATACATATCTTCAATATTTTGTTTATTTTTTATTTAATAGCACATAGAAGATAATTTCTCGTTAAATAAAGTACGCGATGTTTATTTCGTAAAATTATGACAGCGTCATCTATATGCTCCTTGGCGAAACTAACAGTTGACACTAGACTATAGTTCCGAATTTACAACGTGACAATCAAGACTCAGCTTGTTTTATTTATTTTTCTTCATGAAAATGCGGAAAAATAATTGAAAACAAGGCAATTTTAATAGATTTCATTATTACATACTTTTCTCTTTTTGGCAGTTAAATTCTCTGAATGTAAATAATATTAAGTACTTTATCATTATACTACGCTAAGACGATTCGCAACATCAAAAAAGAGATGGCATTATACAGTTTCCTATGTTTAATAAGGAATAGACAATATTGGGGAATCATTGGTTATTTCAGTCACTTCAGCAATAATACAATTACTTGGTTGACAGGTTTGTCATGGTACAAATATGAGTAATATTATAATTAGCTTACTTTAAGCTTACATTTAAATATGATTGTGTTTTGAAAGGTTATGGTAGGTCTCCTGGATCCTCAGTAATATTTTCCATTGTAGTTCTAATTCTAATACAATATGTTTTCACTTTCTCTTAAATAACTTAGTGCACTTAATTGGGTTTTTTTGACGTCTTTTAAGCGGCGGGAGTCAATATTTATGTTTTACTTTCACTTAAATCACATTATCTTCTATCACTTCGAACTTTGAAAAACTTTGAATTTGTAATTAGTTAAATTTTCAGGATAAAGTCTTTTGTAATTTGGTTTAAAATAAAGAATATATTTTTAACTCTTCATCGTTATTTCTTTCTTCGTTTTTTCTTCATAATGTACTTATAAAATAAAAATATTTTTTGTAAAACCTGTACTCGTAACTTCAAAAACCTTCAAAAAATAATTTGTTTAGGAAACATAAATGTCGGGATTTGAAACATAAGCACGTTGTATAAAGTCAAATTGTTTAGTTTAGTTTAAAATCTTACGCTTAAATTGAAAAGAGAGCTTATGTGGTATTTTAAAATATCTTAATGTATTTTAAAAAGCAAACTTGTACATCCTTTTTAACACCCACCTCTGCTAATACCTAATGTATTTCATTGCACAAATACAAGTAAACTACAGTTTAAATTTTATTGAATATCATGTTTTACTACAATGATATTAATTTATTTTTGTTTCATAATTCCACTAGTTTGTTATAATTATTAATGCAAAGATTGAATACAAAAAAAAATTCATTCGATCTGACAAGTTCTCCAATCTGCGTCTGTATCGCTCTAACAACTAAGTTACAGAACGAGTCAGTAGACCTTATGAATTTCTCTATGCGTTTGTTAATCATTAAAAATCTTTGTGTTTTAACGGTTTTTTTGCCTGATGCCATCTGCGAGAAATTAATGAAAGTTTTTCTATACTCAACCAAGTCGAAGGTACCAGCTACCAGAGGTTGAGAAAAGATGTTGCAGTATGAAATGCAATAATGATAATAATTTATTTTTGTGAAATTACTTTTATTCATTAATACAAAGATTAATTAATATATAAAACAATTCAGTCCTATCCTAACTCAAAATTCTATCATCGACAATGAGCTACAAGGGGCATAATCTTTTTTTTATGATACCAAGTGATTGGACGAATAAGTCATGCACCTGGCGATAAGCGACACACCTGTCCATAGCAGTGGCAGTGGCCCTCAGAGCTTTAAATCGCAAAGACGGTTGCCCTAAGACAAAAATTGACAAGTCCCATGAGCCTGCAATTTCTTTTTATTAAAAAATAAATGCTCTTTTGACGTCCATCTCTCCTAATGGAAAGAACCCGTGAAGGCGACGATGGAGCATGCACACCTAAATAATGCCTACATTCGCTTTCGCCTGGAAAAGGCCAGGTTATACCGTTCAGGGAACAAGTCTGTGGGTAGGGAATTCCACTCGAAAGCCATTCGCCATATAAAAGTGGAAGTAAAACACTTCGTGTGAATCCTTTGAATATTCACAACACAAGGTGAAACTATCTGGAAAGGGGAAGGCAGAATTAAATAGTTCCATTGCAAAAGCATTTAATTTAAATAGTAATGTCACGAGCACCCTTCAAAACGGGGAACGCAGTAATGTTCGTTTAGCTGAAAGGCAGGTGGCAGTACTAGACGAAATCTTTCATAGACGTAATCTATTGCTACTAAATTACGTGTACCATAACTTTTTATTGATACAAAACTCTCGACTCCTCTAACTTTTTTTTCATTTAGGAAAACACGTGAATCCAAAACACTTTACAACTTTAAAAATCTTTCAACTCGATTAAGGGCGGAATGAAAATGCATTTCTTTGTACAATTAAAGCATCGAGGTTTCGACTAGTGCACTAATAAATTACGGCAAGGCACGCTATCACGATACAAGTTAACGAATTGAAATCGATACAATTTAAATTATTTGCACCATTTTTCAATAAATTAGGTACAAATAATTTCATACCCTCGGTATAAAGTCACGTTAAAAGTGCTTTTATCCCATAAAAGTGATAAAAATTATACGAACTACATAAAACAAATTATGTATATATGTCAAATTTTATAACTTTCCTAAGGTATCAACTAATTTCATCCGCAGAATCTTTAAACCTCTACTGAAAAGTTATCATTTTGCAAATGTGGCATTATTACACTGACTGCCTCCGTGGCCGAACGGTTACCATGCCGGACTGCCACGCAGAGGTCCCAGGTTCGATTCCCGGGCCGGGAGAAATATTTGTATGGCCTACAATTATTTCTCTCGTGAGTTTGGGTGTAATTTGTGGTTGTGTATATGTGTGTCCATGGCACCCGCGACACAGGGTTTCCCTAGT